AGGTGTGTTACGTCTTGATTGAGAGGATTACAGTCTTATCTCTAAAGCTGGGTTCCCTGGTACTCTCCTGCCTTAGAAGACAACGTGGAGGTAAGCAGCACGAGGTTCAGAAAATGGTTTCTGAGAACAGACTTTGCTTTTGTGTCCTGTTTAAAATCTACCTGTTGATGCTTCCAACATTGTACCTTGTGTCTCTGATAAAATGGCAAATATACCCTGATCATTGAGAAATACCCCCTCCCATTAAAATGCCTCTGTGCTTGTTTTCAGGAGTTGAAGATATTCAGCCATTTTGTGTTGCAAGTCTAAGTCCATTTCCAGTTCTTCAGTGAAAGTGCTATGATAAATTAAATAATTATAAACTGTGCATATAGCGTTTTTTCTGTCTGACGTGACTAAAATAAAATACCTAGTTGCAAAAAATGTTTAAAAGTTGGGCTTTATCGCCAATGAGGAGTGACAACAGGGTTCTTTAAAGGACCAAGACTGATTTCAAAGAACATGGTGTTCTGGGAAGTATTGCCTGCAGAAAGTGTAGCCACGTGGCATATGTTTTTCAGCTTTAAGAGCAACTGTAAAGGCATTTCTGAAATATAGGATAATAGGTAGTAAGTATTCTAAGGTAGTACGGTATTCTAACTTCCATAATAGGTTACATGGCTAGTACTACAAGTAAGGCTCTGTGGTTTTGTATCCACAGGGCAATTTATTAAAAATTTTAAGGTTATTTGATTTAGCTCTTTTTGTTCTTCCCATTTATTAGATGGGGAAGCTGAACATTACTGGTTGAAGATTCCAGCCTAGAATAGGTGATTATTTAGGATTTGTTTCCCCTGAGCTTAGCCAGGTGAAAAGGAGGAAGCCAGCTTGAGCCCGTTGTCTAAACTCAGTGGAGAGCAGTGGGTGCTTTGCAAGAATGGTTCACCTGGTAGGCAAGGTGGGTAAGACAGATGCAGTCGTTCCCTGCTGTGGGTGCCCTCTGAGCTCTTCAGTAGCCACAGAGAAATTTTAGTCACTTGGATTAGATGCCTACATTTAAGATGGCTGAAGTTGAGGGAAATGAATCCCATGCTTTCCAGTTACTCCCTGTCATTACACATTGAGTTGGCTATGAATGCTGTGACTGCTTGCTGTGTATGCATGAGCTCATTAGGCACATCTCAGTATACATGGACTTGTCTGTGCCCAATGTGGTTTTGGATGTTGCTGGTGCTACCTTATTTTGCCCAAATACTCTTCTGTGTTTAGAATTGCCTCACCTGTTTGTTCAGGTTAGGTTTTATGGCTGACATTTTCTGAATACTTCCAAGCAGAAAGACGTATTTCTGAGTTCAGGTATTTGTAGTGTCAGATTCAGCTTGCAAATTAAGATGCCTGAATGTAAACAGCTATCTGTCTGCAATGATGGTTAAGCTCCTTTAATGATAGTCAGAGGAGCTCTAGTCAGTACTGTCAAGCCTCGAGCGTAATTCTGTCATCCTAAAGAAGATGTTACATGTGGTCAGCTGAACAGGCTTCACTGACTACTGTGAGATCGTAGGTACTGAACCCATGCATTGACATCGAGATACAAATGTGTCATTGTACACATCTCTGTCCACAAGAAATATCCTATCCAGCATGTCTGAAAAAAGGCCATGTAAAACTGACATCTAGAAAATAATTTTCCTGCAACTTTTTCATTAACCGTCAAGCCTTCCCACAATATAAGCTAATTAAAAGAAACACAACTAGAGTGTTAATGAGCTTTCCTGTAACTGAAAGCTTTCGAAAACCTTTCAACCTATTCCCCAGCTACATTTTTGCTCAACTGACATGATACACCTCTGTGCAAAAAAAAAAAAGGACTTGCTCCTTAAACATAGCTGGTAGCTGTGGTCTTCAGAAGGACCTTTAGATCCACAGGAAGAAGTTGTACAAGAGACATATCCAGAGAGATTCCTGTTTTGGAAGAATTTGATTTAACAGGTAAGTATAAGCACTACGGTAAATGATGATTCCAAAGTATGGTGATAAATCTAGTATACAAATTAAAACATTGCATTATTTTATGAGAATGTAGACCTGCAAGCACAATAAGAATTATTACTCTATAGGAGTAGACAGGAACAAGTAAAATAGTGATTTGTAAAATGCAGTAGAAATAAGATGTATGCCTTTGAGACTGAGCCTAAACAACACCAACTTGAGATTTTAATTTCCTGTGAGGCAATGGTACTGGGTATCAAAGAAACTTTTTCTCTGTTTGGTTTGGTCATTCTGTAGGCATTTTCTGATTCTTAAAATCAGCTGGTCTTCTAGGGATAAAATTACCTCTTAAATATTATGAAAATTTTATTCCTGAGAGACCAATGAAAGCCATGGGAGCAATCTGAAGCCCAGTCTCTTTTTAAAAACACCCAGACAAAATAAACTTCTTTCATAGCTAGCCGTATATTCTGCTGTTAAGGTGTAGTCTCCTGCCTCTCCCAGTTCACACCCAGAATATACTTTTTACCTGTGTATTCAATACTGGGATACAAAAATAGGTGATGTACAAAACATGCAAGGCTCATGGAAGAAAACTTCTTTAGTGCTAAGACCTCTCCCCTTTCCTTCCTGGGTGCCTCTTGTATCGTCACAGTTCTGTCTGTTCAGTCACGTACAGTGGAAATGGTTTGGGACAGAGATTTGTGTTTTGAATAGTTAACTCTGTCATTGGCTATTCAATATAATAAAGAGTATTAGAAAGTTACTACTAGCACCATTTTAATTTCATAGGCAAAGAGGTGAGGATTTTTTTTATTTCATGCATTTATTTTCTTTCCGTATTTCAGATAATTATAACTTAATATATTGACCTAAACTGGGTTCCCAAGCACTGTTAAAAACACCTAGTCTATCTTGTGTCCTTCATGTTGTACTTTAATGAATAGCTGTAAGCCTTATTAGGGAAACTGACTGGAAATGACTTATCTTTCCATTGCTTCAAGGTGACTTTTTCTCCTAATAAGAATAATACTTGTTCTGCAGTGCAATTTAATATAGTATAGATACCGTATATCATCAAACAAGGACAAAACCAGTATTTCCTTATCTTGTATTATTTATTTTGTGATTAGTCCAGGATACATCATCTTGTAGATTTTTGTGGCTACCAGGAATAATCGCTGTCAGTCTCCAAAAATCTAATCTTACTACTGGCCTTCCCTGTTCTCTTTCCCCTTCTTTCTTCTCTGATCTACCAAGAAAATAATTTAGTTTCTTTTTCCAGACACACAGATGTGCACCAGATGGTTACTGATAGTTTCAAGGTCCTGATGAGTTATTGGAATAATTAAGTGTTGGTGTGAGGTTTGTAATCTAGCTATAATACTGAACTGTGTACTCATCTCTTTCAAGCTTTTAAAATAAAAGGTTTATTTTATTAAGACTTTTGAAACAGTGCTTAAAATGTCATTGCAGATAATAATTGATACCCAGTTCATGGTCAGAAGTTCACACAACTCTTTCATATGTAAAATTCTTGATCTTGTAAAGGGGATCAAAGGTGATCTACATTTAGGTCATACAATAATTTTATGCCAGAAGGAATCGTAAGATATCAATCAGGGAATGATTTTAATGGTGAATTGGGAAATATTTCTATCTAAAATATGAACATAAGGTGTTGAAAATGATAGAGAAACTGATACATAAATATGATTTATGGATTGTAGAATTAAAAATATAGTCCACATTAGTTGAAAAAGGCCTTATTGCAAGGGTCTATTAAGTCTCGCTCTTTTGTGCAAGTCTTTGTTGCCACAACAGGTTTAATATGTTTGGATTTATAAAGTATAAATATGAAAAAAACTCTTAAGAAAATTTTGCTTCTGTGTATGTTACTTCCAAATTTAGTTTGTGCTGTAATGGATATGCCTCCTAGGTCTGGTATACGGTATGTATTGCTTTGATAGCTAAATCTGATTAAAATAAGAAATAATTACTTCTCTTTGTCCTTGACATAGGAACAAATCTATTCCTTCTACTTTCCAGTGTTCAGCACTATTATAATAGGTGTGTCACTTGTAACACAACTGTCTTTGGATGTAGCTGCAATAGCTACATCATCACACAGCCCTTGCCTGCATGATTTAGATCCTTTCCTTAGTATTTTGATCTTGGAAACAGTTTTGAAACAAGATTTTTTTGGTGCCATCCACCAAAAATACTGAATTTTTGCAAGCAAAGCAGAATGAGTAACTCCCGTACAGAAAAATAATGTGCTAGCCTTTTAATGATAAGGAATTCAGTGGGATTGCTGGACACTAATAGCATGCATAAGTATTTGCAGGATTGGAGCTTTATAAAATCCCAAGCAGAATTTGAGCTTCCTTTCCTTAAGATTCACTGATTAATCACTTCAGGTCTACCCTAAACTACTATTTCCTTTCTGGTTCTGATAGTTAATCCACGTGTCTTTTAAAGCACATTTGATGAATAAATGGGAGAGCTGTGGAGGTATTGGAGCTCCCTAGAGTATATCATCCTTTACGTGGACTCGGTCTGCTCTCTGACCAACTCTTTATTTACTTAATATCTGTCTTTATTCTGCTGAAGGCCTGATGCATTTTTAACTCAGGTGTCCCTAGCCCCATTAAAAATGCAACTTCATAACTGTTTTCATACAATGATACTATTTTTTCTGGGTTTTAGACTGTGTATTTGCAAGAACTCACTTTCGTATCTGAGTAAGACTTTCCTTGCAGTGCGTGGGAAAGGGTAGCGTTCTCCAAATGGACAGTCGGAGCTCTTAATGTCACAGGACTGACTTGCCCTGTGAATGTGCCTGTCCCCCTCCACTGACTGGAAGGGGCTGAGAAGACCAGTCTCTTGAGGAAGGTCACTTAAAAAACTGCCTACATTTAGGCATTGTCAATACAACCTGCATGCTGCATGTAAGAGTTGTTTTGTTCTGTTCTGTTAGTACTGTGTAGTTCAAAAACGTTTTGGGGTTGGGGTGTTCTTACCTTTTCCAGGTATGGGACATTGGAGGGCAGCCAAGGTTTCGAAGCATGTGGGAGCGTTATTGCAGAGGAGTCAATGCAGTTGTGTAAGTTTTCTTGTTTATGCCTATACAAAATGTATTTTACAATATATATTATTAATATAGATACGCTTTTCTTCCTGTCCACCTCCATCACATGAGAAGACCCAACACTATAAAAGTAGTGTGTTTTTGCACATTCAGCAATCCAGATATATAAGTAATTGCATGTTCCAGGCCATTTTTTCCCCACAGCCCGTATTTAATTTTGTATCTTCCTCTGTTAATAAATGCAGGACTTAAACAACTCAGGATTGTTCTAATGCTGTTGTCAATGCGAACACATTTGTCACGTTTCAGATGTTTTAATGAGACTTTCTGCAAGTAATGGACAATACCATAAATAACTATATTCCCATTGCAGTTACATGGTGGATGCAGCAGACTTAGAAAAAGTAGAAGCTTCAAAGAATGAGCTACACAGTTTGATAGATAAGCCACAATTACATGGAATTCCAGTAAGTATTTTGATTATTATTCTTACCTGAGTGTAGACAGTGTAGCCTATATCCTCATGAATTGGCTCCTCTGGACTCTTGAAACACTAGCTTAAATATGATGCAGCCTTGATACATTGAGCGCTCTTACAAAAATCATTGTGACATTTTTTCAGAGGACTCAGCATCTTATCAGTGCTACGGTGTGTTCATTTTCTCATCTGAAGGTCAGAATAGATTTGGAAAAAATTCATTTTCACATGTGGCATTATCAGACAGTAATTACTTTCAGTCAGTCTCCCTGTTGGCTGGGTTTAAACCAGTGACCCAGATAGGTTTCTGGCAGTATCTTAAGGCATGTGAGATTTGTCTTTCTGAAGGTTGGCAGACACTAACATCAAATAGTCGTCTGCTTCCAGAGATTGTGGAGGAGCTTGACTTTTTATGTGTCTCTTACTTTTTCTTGATTTTTTAGTTTTTCAAACTAAACTGTGTGGAGAAGATGCAAATATGCATCTGTTCTCTAGTAGGAAGTGTCAAAGAATAGTATATTCTGCTGAAATTCTAGCAAGGAATAATGGAGGTGGAGACTAATGTTGTTTAATTAAACGTAATCTGCCAATTTGGACCTAGTAGGAATCTATCAGGTTAGTGTTGATCTTTGGTGCTGACATCACCAAGCAAGAGTTCATGCCTTTGATCATAAGAGGGAAAACAATGGTACATAGAAATCAGAAAGAAGTTACTCACAACTTGATGGCTCTTGCTTGGCCCCATTTTTGTAAGCAAATATTTGGACACTTGGCCAGTGCAAGTGGTCGAAGTCATCTGAGGATGAGTAGACAGACAGCCAACATAAAAACATTGTGACTCTCCATCTTTTTTGCTATTATTGTTGCGTTTTTATATGTTAAGTACATGTTGAACAAATCCTACAGAAATCTATAGTCACGCTATTCATGGTGAGTGACAATGTCTGTCCTTTGTACTGTCTTCAGATCCTATTTTACTTCTCAGTTTTCCTTCCTGAAATGAGAGGTCTCTCATATCTTCAGAGAATCATTAAGGTTGGAAAAGACCTCTAAGATCACCGAGTCCAAGCGTCAACCCAACACCACCATGCCCACTAAACCATGTCCCTAAGCGCCTCATCTACACGTCTTTTAAATACCTCCAGGGATGGTGACTCAACCACTTCCCTGGGCAGCCTGG